CAGCAGCCTCCTGCCATGCATAAGGGGAATTACCAATAGGCCCCTTGCTGCCTTCAAGGAGGAGCTGGACAGATACTTAGTTGGTACCAGATCAGCCAGGCTGTGGTTTATGTTGGACTATGTGCGGCCACCAGTAACAGCCTAATTGATCAGGCCCTGATCCACTGGGAGGCCTGGTCGTGGACTGGGCCTTGGGGGCGTTGATCCCCAGAATGCCCTCCAGGTATAAGGCTATCATGTTTTCTTAGAATTTTAGTATGCTGGTGCAGCACTTTTAATTTCCTACAACACTTTCTCCTTGGAGTTCATATAAAGTAAGTTATTGCATATTTTACATATGCTCTTTTTGTTATGACATCTAAAGGTAGTTGTGATAAAAAGGAGTTGTAAGGCTCTTTAAGTGTAAAGTTACAAATGATTAAACTCGGTGAGCAAGGTTTGTCAGTTGCTGAGATAGTAGAGATGCTATTGATAATTATACTTAAATATTCTTGTACCTAAATAAACTTATTGTGCTGACATGCAGGTACATTAAAATTACTATTTGGCATTGTTGCAGAGTAGTAGCAGCTAAGAATCTCTCATTAGTGTTGTAGATGCAGTAAGCATAATAATTGTTCTGGGGTGTTTTAAATATCGCATATTACATTATTATAGACATTTTCATTAATTCATCTGACATTTTTTCAAAATTATGTAAGAAACGTGCTACATATCATATAAACGAAATACATACAATCACAGTAAAACAGATTTTCATAATTGTAAGGTGTGGTAGCTGGGAGGGTGTAAAGGAGTGTACAACAATCACCGTGATGCATTTTCTCTAGTACTACACCAGAGAAACTAGTATTACTGAGGGGGTAACTGTAGAAAAACACTGCTTGTGTATGCCTTCACCCATAAATAGTCACTTGCTCACAAAAGGGGTTGTTGCATGAGAATGGGAGTGTTATGTATTCTACTGTGTGAAGACACCTTGTACATAATTGTATGCATAATGCCAGTTGAACATGCATCAACAGCCATTGGACAGGTATGAAATACTTGTCCATCGGACTGCCCACCCAAAACACTGACACCATATATGTACACTTTTATGGAACATGCCCAACAGTGTTTTGTAATAATAAAAATTATTTCTAAGTGAAACTGGCCGTTGCTGTGAGCTCTGCGTCTCTTGGTTCCATCTGGAAACTTTCCAAAGTTTCAAGTGCTTTAAAGTTATTACTTCATAGCAGCGCTGTATAGCCCTTGTGGCTTAGCACTTCTTTTTTATTATAATAATAATATTACTTCATAAGGCTCTTTAAATGAATTCCAAGGAGAAAGTGTTGCAGGAAATTAAGTGCCACACCAGTGAACACTAAAGTTATAAGAACGTGATAATCTTATTCAGGGGCGTCGTAAGGGGGGGCAGGGGGCGGGCTGCCCCGGGTGACACCATAGCCTCTAAAGAACGTAATGCTAATGACCAAAACCATGCTGCAGCAACCTATGAGAAAAATCCTTCATTTCTATGTAGCCTATTATAGGATTAGAGTACAAATAGGCCTATATAGGAAAAATCATTGATTTTGATGTGATAGATGATTTTGCAGGATTGAAGGCAAGGAAATGAAATATCAAATTCTTTGAGATGTTACCTGTACTCAAGGTCAAATTGGAACTAGTTTTTTTCTTTATTTTTCTTTGTTTTTTTCTTTTTCTTTCTTTTTCTTTTTTTTCTTTCTTTCTTTCCATTGTTGAAGATGAATAAATGTAGGATCTGTTGCCTATACTCAGTGGTATTTGAGTTTGTTTCCTCAATATTACTGCAATTAGTTATTTTATCGTTAATAAAGTTCGGTTTATGGCCTTTAAACGTTCTCATTGCTAAACATTAGTAACTGGTCATGCAGCAGTGATGTAACTGGAGTTTGCTACCCCTATCCCCCCACCCTTGGATTTCATGGGGGTGACACCAAAGTTTCCACCCCGGGTGACACCAACCCTAGCGATGCCTCTGATCTTATTGCAGACATAGAAAAATTTTACTGGTGTGGATTGAAGCTCAAATTAGTCACAATGTGACTTGATACAGAGCCATTATCCAGTCCAAGGCCCCAAGTCTCTTCAATTCTATGAAGACTGGGAGAGGTGAGGAAGCTGCTGAAGATAAATTTGAAGCTAGCAGAGGCTATTTTTGTGTGTGTGTGTGTGTGTGTGTGTGGTGTGTGTGTGTGTGTGTGTGTGTGTGTGTGTTGTGTGTGTGTGTGTGTGTGTGTGTGTGTGTGAGAGTGAGTGTGTGAGAGTGAGTGTGTGAGAGTGAGTGTGTGAGAGTGAGTGTGTGAGGTGAGTGGTGTGTGTGAGTGAGTGTGTGTGAGTGAGTGTGTGAGAGTGAGTGTGTGAGAGTGAGTGTGTGAGAGTGAGTGTGTGAGAGTGAGTGTGTGAGAGTGAGTGTGTGAGAGTGAGTGTGTGAGAGTGAGTGTGTGAGAGTGAGTGTGTGAGAGTGATGTGTGTGAGAGTGAGTGTGTGAGAGTGAGTGTGTGAGAGTGAGTGTGTGAGAGTGAGTGTGTGGTGAGGTGTGTGAGAGTGTGTGAGAGTTGTGTGAGGTGTGGGGAGGTGTGTTGAGAGGTGTTGGAGTGTGTGAGAGTGTGTGGAGGTTTTGAGGTGTGTGAGAGTGTGTGAGAGTGTGTGGGGGTGTGTGAGAGTGTGTGGAGGTGTGTGAGAGTGTGTGAGAGTGTGTGAAAAGTGTGTGAGAGTGTGTGAGAGTGTGTGAGAGTGTGTGAGAGTGTGTGAGAGTGTGTGAGAGTGTGGAGAGTGTGTGAGAGTGGTGTGTGAGGAGTGTGTGAGAGTTGAGGTGTGTGAGAGTGTGAGATGTGTTGATGAGTGTGTGAGGTGTGAGGGGGAGTGTGTGAGGGGTTGAGGTGTGTGAGAGTGTGTGTGTGAGAAGTGTGTGAGTGTGGAGAGTGAGTGTGGTGTGAGAGTGAGTGTGTGAGAGGTTGTGTGAAGTGTGTGTGTGAGAGTGAGTGAGTGTGTGAGAGTGAGTGTTGATGTGGAGAGTGAGTGGTGTGTGAGAGGTGAGTGTGTGTGAGAGTGAGTGTGTGTGAGAGTGAGTGTGTGAGAGTGAGTGTGTGAGTGAGTGGTGGAGTGAGTGTGTGAGAGTGAGTGTGTGAGAGTGAGTGTGTGAGTGTGAGTGTGTGTGAGTGAGTGTGTGTGTGTGTGTGGTGTGTGTGTGTGTGTGTGTGTGTGTGTGTGTGTGAGATGAACGTTTTGAAAACTGATAAGTTGAAGATTTGAGACATTTATGCAACACATGGGAATCTTTATTGAAGAAACGTTTTGCCACACAGTGGCTTCATCAGTCCAATACAAAGTAGAAATTGGCAAGGAGAGGGGAAGTTTGAGGTAATCAGTCCCTCAACCTGGAATCGATGTGTTCAGTCCATCACACTTGTAGGAAGTGCAGCATAGGGCCAGAGAGGTGGCTTATATACTGCAGTGAGACGAGTTGAAGCAGGAGGAGGCGGGATCACAGTGGGACCTGCCACTACAAGAGTGATGGACTGAACACATCGATTCCAGGTTGAGGGACTGATTACCTCAAACTTCCCCTCTCCTTGCCAATTTCTACTTTGTATTGGACTGATGAAGCCACTGTGTGGTGAAACGTTTCTTCAATAAAGATTCCCATGTGTTGCATAAGTGTCGTAGTTTCATCTGACTTCCTACAGTAAATACTACTATCCTCTCACTTTAAGTGAAGGCTAAAAAATTTTAAGGTAAGTAATGAGTGTACTGCATATGTATTTTACTTTTTTATTGTTTTTTTTAGTCCTAGTTCTATTGCTAACTTAATGTATGATAGTGTCAAAATGTTAAAAGTAAAAAAAAAAAAAAAGAGCAGTTTGCTTTACAGCAGTACCCTGGAACCTTCCCTACCATATAAGCAGGGACCCTCCTGTAATAATATAGTAACCAACTATGGGCATCTGCTGGAACTTGGCTTCAGGGTGAGAGAAGTTAAAAGGATAAGAAAGGTATTAATGTATTTTTTCCTCCTTGACGGAGGATTGATTGATAGATGGGAGAAAATTCCTCCCCCAAGTTCATGCCCATGATTGCAACTGTTGACAGCATTGCTTTGCCATACATTTTGTAGTCTGCATTTTAGAAGAAGAGTACAGTTACTCTTCACAGACCTTTGTGAAAACATTAATGCTTCATTTAGCCATTATCATAAGCACTTTGAAGGAATGTCTTAAAATATCCGAAGTGAGTGTAGTGTAATAAAAATTGGTATGTCTAGTTAATCTTCATAAAGTACTCTCAAAGGTATCTCTTGTCTTCAGTTTTCTGTTGCCTTATGAGGGTAGTACACGTTTTCCAAAGTTTTCTAATATATTCTAGTGACAATTACCTGTACAATAACCTCTTAAGCAATCTGTATAATGCATTTTTCTTTTCGAAGGTACTACACTGTAGTTTTAGGTTGCCTGACTACACATTCAAATGAATGATTTTGGTGATATATTTAATGTGCAACATTTGAAATAAAATAGAACTATATTCCCACCTCAAAAAAAAAAAAAAAAAATTATTTATATTGTCCTTGGCTTTCTTTTAGTGCCAACTTTTCTTCTTTCTTGCCTCTTCCTTTTTTTTTTTTTTTTTTTTTTTTTTTTTTTTTTTTTTTTTTCTTTCTTTCTTTTTCTTCTCCTCTGTATATTGCACATTATCCAAAAGCTTTTATATTTTCAAAATACAGTAAGCCCTCAATTTAAGGGACCTTAATTTATCAAACATTGGAAATATTTAACAAAATTCACTAGGTTGGTTGATTAGGAAACAATAGACAAAGTTCATTGATTAGAATTGACATCATTAGTCATAATGTAATTTTGATTCACTCTAGTTGCCATTACCAGCCACTTGTTCCCATCCATTAGCCCTCATCTGTTCCCATCTAGTAGCCTGTTAAATCGAGGGTTTACTATACAGAGATTTTGTACTTCTAGGCTTTACGTGAGAAGGAGAAGGAAGACTGGAAGAAACTAACGTTGGAAGAAAAGAAAGCCTTGTATCGTGCTTCCTTCTGCCAGACCTTTGCAGAAATGAAAGCGCCTACTGGGGAGTGGAAGTCTGTGCTGGGGATAACATTAATTCTTTCCTCTTTAGGTATTTGGATATACATGTGGATGAAAATGTATGGTAAGTAAAATTTGCAGTGTATTTACTGTATTAAACTTGTATAGCTAGATAGATTGTAGGAAATGAATATGGGTTAACTGTCCAAATATAGATCTACATTCTTACCGTTGGTGCTCCAAACGTAGATAGTTTTATTTTTTCTGACTCCAAATTTGGCACGAATGGCCTGAGATGCATGGTCGGTATAGAATGGGTCTTAACACTCAGTGTGTGCAGTATTAGAAAAATCCGAGACCACTTAGTATCTTGAGGGAGCACCAGTTCAGTTGAGTGCCAGCTAGAGCAAACGGCATGGCAAACACCACAGATTTGCTGATGTCATGTTAACGTTCCCCATTTAAGAGGAAAGTGATGTTGACCCTGAGTTTAGTGACAGATTGATGTGGCCACAAGTGGTACAGGAAATTTAAAAAACCACAGCAATAACCCATATGCAACATCCTTTAAATTTTGATACCACTGGTAGTGTCATCCTGCCAGAATGTCCTATATCTATGTCCTAAGTAAAGAGAGAGAATGCTGGAACATGAGTACGTAGTGTGTTCAGCAGGCTGGGTGGCTGATAGACTTTGGCTGTCTGTCCATCTGTCTCTTGTCTGTCTGTACAGTTATTATACATAGTGTAAATTACCTAGGATTACCCCAAAAAAATCCAAAGTGCTATAATGTGCTTGTAGACATAAGGCATAATAACCATGACTGGCAAGTAATATGCATTTTCACTTGTTCGGGAATCAGACCTGATGACTCTGCATTATGTATAATACCTGTTGGTTCATGAGCGGCACGCGCGCACACACACACACACACATGATAACGACATACAAAATACTGAGGGGAATTGACAAGGTGGACAAAGACAGGATGTTCCAGAGATTGGACACAGTAACAAGGGGACACAGTTGGAAGCTAAAGACACAGATGAATCACAGGGATGTTAGGAAGTATTTCTTCAGCCACAGAGTAGTCAGTAAGTGGAATAGTTTGGGAAGCGATGTAGTGGAGGCGGATCCATACATAGCTTTAAGCAGAGGATGAATAAGTACGAGTCGGAGAGAGTGACCTAGTAGCGACAGTGAAGAGGCGCGGACCGATCGACCCCCGCAACCTAACTAGGTAGTACAACCTAGGTGAGTACAACAAACACACAGCACACACACACACACACACACCATCACACACACACACAGCACATCACATCAACAACACTACACCCACAGCTAAACCGAGGCAGACACACGACAGACACACAGACAGACACACAGAAGACCACAGACAAAACACAGGACATACAAGACACACAGACAGACACCACACATCGCAGACACACGCAACACACACACTCAGAACACAACGCAGACACACACACGCAGACACACACAGCAGACACACACACGCACATGCCCAGAGACGCACACGCCAGAGACGCAATCGCCAAGACGCACTGCCCAGAGAGGCTCACGCACGCCCAGAGGACGACGCACAGAGACACGGCCCAGAGAGCCGGACCACGCCCAGAGACGCTCAACTCCCAGACGGCACGGCTAGACCAGACACACACACACGCCCAGACACACACACACGCCAGACACACACACACACACACACACGCCAGACAACACACACACACGCCAGACACACACGACAACACACAACACACGCCCAGACACACACACAACACACACACGCACAAGACACACACACACACACACATGCCAGACACACCACACGCCCAGACAACACACACGCTAGACACACACACGCCCAGACACACACACGCCCAGACACACACACACACACGCCAACAAACACACACACCACAACACGCCCAGACACACACGACACAGCCCAGACACACACACACACACACAAACACCACCACACAACACAACACACACACACACACAGACACACACACGCACAACACAGCCACACACACACACGCCAGACACACACACACGCCCAGACACACACACACACACACACGCCCAGACACACACACACACACACACACACGCCCAGACACACACACCACACACCAACACACACAGCACGCCCAGACACACACACACGACACACAGACCACACACACGCACGCCCAGACACACACACACACGCCCAGACACACACACACACACACGCCCAGACACACACACACACACACGCCCAGACACACACACACACGCACGCCCAGACACACACACACACACACGCCCAGACACACACACACACACACACGCCCAGACACAACACCACCAACACACACACGCCCAGACACACACACACACACACGCCCAGAACACACAC